GTGATAGTTCTGGCTTAAGTCATATACCCATGTCTTGGCCAACTGCTGTGGTCCGAGGAATGGGAAACTCTGCCTAAACCTAGGCGATGTCTATACCCGAGGCCAGGGAGAGCGAGGCTCTGTTTGGTTGACCCCCCTGGTTTGGAGTAGGTCAGGTGAATACGGTTACCAGAAGAAATGGGAAAGCTAAGTGGACCAACCCAAAAGATGCCCCCTCTCTCTGCAACTCTTATTTTCAGAAGTGTTAAATTCTGGACCTTTAGAGTATTAAAACGAAGCACTTACGCTACCTGGGACAAGGACATGGTTGTTTAACTTCAGGGTTGTTTCCCTATCAAAGTTGATTTTCCACTTAGAATAAAATCCAAACTCCTCCTAAGGTCCTACAAGAGTGCCCACTGCCTGTGTCTCCTCTGAATTCTTTTCCTGTCACTCCCTAGCCACCCAATCTCCCCTCCATTTACTCCACTCCGGTTGCACTGGCTTTCTTTCTGTTTCTGGAGGACGTCAAGTTCCTCCCCATCTCCCATCTCTCCAATCGCTGTTCTTTCTGCCAGAAATGTGCACCCCATGGGTATTCCCATGGCTGACTCCTCGTAACTCATCTCAGATTTCACCGTTCAGAAGGACTTCCCTTAGCCACCACGTGTAAACAAACCAGCTTTCCCCCAGCGCTAAACAACTTCTCTCATCGTTGTATTTCACTTGCCTCTATCATCTCATCTATTTTGTCTGATATGAGTATTGCTACCCCAGCCTTCTTTTCATTTCTGTTTGCACGGAATATCTTTTTCCATCCCTTCACTTTCAATCTGTATGTGTCTTTCAATTTAAAGTGAGTCTCTTGTAAGCAGCATATAGATGGGTCATGTTTTAAAATCTGTTGTGCCACTCTGTGTCTTTTGATTCAAACATTTAGTCGATTTACATGTTAAGTAGTTATGGATAAGTATGTACTTATTGCCGTTCTTTCAGCACTTTAAAGGTGTCCTGCCATTTCCTTTGGCCCATAAAGTTGCTGCAAATAAATCAGCTGGTAGCATCATAGGGTTTTCTTTGTATGTAACTTACTGTTTTCCTCTTGCTTCCTTTAAGATTATCTCCTTATCTTTAACTTTTGTGGGTTTCTTTGGGTTCATCTTCTTTGAAACTCTTTGTGCTTCCTGGACCTGGATGTCTATTTCCTTTCCCAGGTTAGGAAAGTTTTCAGCCATTATTTCTTTAAATCAAATTTCTGTTCCTTTCTCTCTTGCTTTGCCTTCTGGAATCCCTATAATGTGGATGTTTGAGCATTTGATGTTATTCCACAGGTCCCTTAAACTATCCTCATTTTTTAAAATTCTTTTTTCTTTTTGCTGTTCTGATTGGTTCATTTCCAGCAGTCTGTCTTCAGGTCACTGATCTATTGTTCTGCTTGATTCTTTCTAATGTATTTTTCAGATCTGCTTGGTTCTTTATTATACTTTTTCTTTGTTGAAGTTCTCCCTAAGTTCTTCTATTACGCTCTCAAATTTGGTGAGCATTCTTATGACTGTTTCTTTGAATTCTTTATTAGACAAATTATTTATCTCTATTTCCTTAGGATTTTTTTTCTGGGGATTTTTCTTGTTCCTTCATTTGAGATATTTTTCTGTCTTGTTATTTTGTTTGACTTTCTAAGTTTGTTTATATGAATTAGGCAAAATAGCTATCATTCCTAGTCTTTAAAAAGTGGCCTTATGTAGAAGAGGCTCTGTGTAGGCTGTGTGCTCTGGGTGGTTTTAGTTGGCCAGCAGGAGTAGAGCAGTTGCCTAAGGTATCTGGTGGAGGGGGATGTAAACAGTGTTGCTTACTGGCCCCACAGACCTGGGAGAATTCCCACAGTCCCCAGAGAGCTCCTGTGGCTACCCAGATTTCTCTATGCAGTCTCTCTTGTTTGTTGTATATAAAGTGGTCTTGCATGGAAGCAACTTCTGTGTAGGCTTTTTATGCTGGGTAGTTTTGGGAAGTTAGTTGGAGCCAGGCAGGTGCTTGTGGTGCCTGGGGCACTAGCCTGGCTGGAGTAGCTCTGGCAGGGAGGTTAGGTGCAGATGGTAACAACCTGTTGTTCCTGCTCCCTTTGTTCAGAGACAAAAGGCTTCAGTCAATGTAGCTCTGAATGCACTGCTGTGATCTTGCAGGTAAGCCAAAGCACCAGAATAGAGCTCCCACTGCCCTATTGAAGTGGAGGGCGATGTAAACAATGGTGATCACTGGCTCTTCTGGCCCATAGAGTTCCCATAGCTCCCAGAGGACTCCCTGGCTTCCCAGCCTTCTCTATTTAGTCTCTTTCTCTTGTTTGTTGTTCAGAAGCTGTTCATTACTCCTGTTATCTGGCAGGAGTAATTGCTCTCTATAGGGTGTGTATATTTGAGTTTGCTCAGAGAGGGCAAGGTCAGCATCCTCCTGTGCCACTTGGACCTCCCATAGATTTGTTTTCTTGTTAATTGGTGTATCTTTCTGCTAGAGTATAAGCTTAATCAGAGCTGGAACCATGTCTGTCTTATTCACTGCTATGTTCCCCTGCCCTGGCACAGTACTCATATAGAATGGTGCTAAATAAATACCTGCGAAATGAGAAGAAAAAAAAATAGATACAATTGCATTTATTATTCTACTCTAACCAGAAGAATAAACTTGGGGCAAAAGAGGAGGTGCAGGCTTTATGTGATGTTAACTTAATTTCATTGATACAATCCCTCTGTCTTCTGTCTTCATTTCTGCTCCAGTTAAACTGCTCAAAAGTAAATGGTGCCCACTTTCTGGCCAAATCTAATGATGTCTCTTCGATTCACTTTATCTTGACCTTTCTGCTGTCTTTGGTACTATCACCCAACTTTGTAACCACTCCATAATTCTTTTAATATTATTTCTGTTCAAAGTGTTTTTTTTTTTTAAAGATGAATTGTTAACTCATATAGAATTGTTAACTCATAATATGTAATCTGAGGATAAGTGTCATATTTGTGTAAGAATTCCAGGAACTAGCATCAGGGAAGGAGGCTGACTCTAGTAACTGAACATATGGCTCTGGCAGGCTTGCTGACTCTTAACCATAAAAACTGGACTTCTGCTTGGCCAGTTTCGAGATAATCATCGAATGGACTATGCTGACTTACACATAGAGAACTTTTAGCCCCCCAGCTTCTGATTTCTTTGTTCTGCTTTCCCTCTCCTTCCTGATAAAAACCCCTACCCGCACTGAAATGTTAAGATGGCTTTTCAGGACAGGAGTCTTCCATCTTCTCAGGTCACCCGCACTTGAATAAACCGCACCACTTTCCTTCTCACCAGCACCTATCTCACAAGTTAGGCTTTTATTGCAGCAGGCAGCCAAACTTGTGTTCAGTAACAACTTGATATTTTTATTTCTAATTTCAAGTTTCACAACTCTATGTTACCTCCTTTCCCTTTCCTACCTATCCTGCCGTTCCTCATCTCTTCTTTGTTGGTCCAAGTTTTCCCATTAATCCTGACATCCATCATATTTCAGTTTGTTTTGTTTGCATACTTATGATCATGTGAACACAGCTCAGCCCAAAAGAAACTTCTAGAGGCTAAAAGACTTGCAGGAACTAAAACTAGTAAGCCAACCAAGAGTAGGAATCAGAATTCACCAGTGTTATTGACATAGCTTATCACAATTTTTTCCAGGAACATTAATATCTAACTCATTTATATACTGGCTAGAATAAAGTTAGGAGTATTCCTAAGGAAGTATAAATCTAGTCACAAAATATGATATAGAGATATGACCTTAATACAAAGAAAAAGTAAGAGATGAGGGCAAATATTTATGCCTAAAGTTCATCATCAGAGTCCTATTCATAATAAGAAAACTTGTGGGAAAGCCAGTGTACAATAAAAGGAGAATAAATAAAGATGCCTTTAAAAATCATGATTGTTTAAGTGCTATACTATTGAGTGAATAATTAAGGACACAAAATTTTAAATACATATATATGTATATATATATATATATATAGAGAGAGAGAGAGAGAGAGAGAGCGAGCAACAAAGAGTAAGTTTATTTATGGGTGATTGTCAATTATGTTGTTATATGTTTTTATGCTTTAAAAATACTTTCCAAACCATCTACAATGTGTATGATTTTGTAATACCAGTAATTTGTAAAAGAATATATGACTTTGCTTTACTGTAAATAACTTATATACATTTTTGCATATATATAATATACTTCACAATGCAGTTTTGGAAAACATGACTTTGGATTATTTGCAAAGACAGCTTTTTTCTTTTTGTAGCTTTAAAAAAATTACGTATACATAAAATTCTCCATAAAGGAGGTCAGGGAGTTGTCAGTCCTCATATAAACAGTGGAATAACTGTGCCTACACTATGGCATTGTACATCACATGTCCAGGGTGTAGGAGGAAGTAGTAGAGTAAAATATGGAATCAACTTTTTAAGTTTCTGTCAGTGAACTTTCGCCTTGTTTAATTAAAGAAGGGGATTGTTTGTCAATAGTGATTTCCTGAACTTTACAGGCAAGCTTCATGTTGAGAAAACAACTGAAATTAGAGATGATGGGATGAATATTTAATAGACAGGAAGCGCTGATATGTCGAAAATGGGATGCTGGTTCATAAGTTGAAATACATAATTTAATTTATTAGAGGTAATCAGGAAATCTTTATATCCACTAATGGAATAAAATACAAATTACATAGTCAGCACAATTCAGAGCATTCAAGCTATGAGGATAATGCAAACCAATAAGCAACAACAGCTAAGTTAATTGACCATTTCCATTTTTATTAATTGGAGAACCATATGGCGATCCCTTACATTGGAAAGAACTGTATTTTGTAACTAATACATTTAACCATACCAGATATTTTCTTTGGTAACATTTATTTGTATCCTGCTTATTTTATATTATTTTTATTATTGTGACTTCTGATATTAAAAGCCCAAGCAGTACACAGCACCTCTGGGCCTTCATTTTCTCATCTGTACAGGAAGGGTGTTGGAATGCTGGTTCTAATACATCATTCTATGGTAGTGGAGCTACAGGATTTCACAAACATTTTATCCCACTTCATGGAAGCTGATGTTGACATAACAGCATGACTATTATCCATACCCCTGGAGTTCCAATTTTTCTTTATCAAGCAGCCTTAATCATCATATTGGTACGTTTCATAGCATGCAAATATTATTCATTTGAACTTGTAAGATAAATTTACTCTGATGTTTGAAAAATTGTTTTGCTTATTGGGTAGAGCTCCATGCAAGATTTTGTTGGGGGGAGTGGGGAACATTGTTTTACTGCTTAAGCAACAACAACAATAAAAAATTTGAAAAACTGTTGAGCTAGAAGAGCTTGAAGGTTGTGCTCAGTGCTCAGACTCTGAGATTATATACAAGCAGCATTCCCAAGCTTCTCGTTTCAAGAAGTGTTAGATCCAGGCCTTTCCCTAACCTAGCTTGAACTTATAAAGGCCCATTCCATACACAACATTTCACTTTTTCTAAATTAATATGTCTTTATTGATTTCAGAAGGCAGAAGGGAGAGGGAGGGAGAGAGATAGAAACATCAATGATGAGAGGGTCATTGATTGGCTGCCTCCCACATGCTCCCTACCAGGGATTGAACCTGCAACCTGGGCATGTGCCCTGACTGGGAATTGAACCTCGATCTCCTGGATCATAGGTCGATGCTCATCTGCTGAGCCACCATGGCTGGGCCATATCTAATGGTCTCTTTGCACATTTAAAACTGTCAAACAAGGGGAAAAGTTCATGCTATATTAATAAATAAAAAAACAGGCTACAAAGAAATGTGAATACTTCCCCATTTTATAAAAATATATAACCGGATCTAGATAGATAAATGCTAGATAGATATAGATAATATTGCTTTTATAGATCTTACTATGCACCATTACCAAATGAAAAATTTTGTGTATATTAACCTGCATTTTGCCCCAATCACTCTATGAGGTAGATAATATTAGTATCTTCATCTGACCGATGAGGAAACTGATGCACAACAATTAATTACATAACTTACCTGAGGTTATACAAGTGCATAGAGAGAAATTTCTGGCAGTTTTTGTTCCAAAAGACTATGAGGTGATATTTGTTCTGCCTGTGTGTAATCTCTAAGAAAAGAATTTTTATTACTTAGGTAACAAAATGAAAGGGGAGGCTGTCAAGAGTTCCCATGCTCATTTTCTCCTGAAAAGGGTTTCATTTGGAGTCTGAGGGGTAGAGATGCCGGGATCGTAGACCCAGCTTTATTTGGGAATGGGGCAGTGATCTATTAGGGACAGTAGCAATTCAGTTGGAGGGAAGAAATGGTTATGATAAATGTCCTTGGAAAGAACGCTTGTCCCTACAGGCTGTCTCCCTTCCTACTAAGGATGAGTCTTCGACTTGCCCTCCCAGGCTAGCCTGTCAGCGCCAGCCCCAGATAAGCCAAGACTGCAGAAATCACGCCTCCATTCACTTGGCCCCACGAGAATCAAAGATCTGCACCAGCGCGCGCCAGTATTGTGTTGAACTGCTTGTTTTTGATTTGTGTTAATTCTTCTGCTTTAAGTCTCTGTGTTTAATTTCCCTGATGAGATTGTAAACTCTTGGGTGTCAGTGACACTCTGGGAAATACTCTCTTGTTTTTCCCAGATTGCATTAAGCACAGAAAGTGCTTAATGAATGGTAGTCAAATGGAAGGGAATCAAATTGTATGCAGCGGTAGACTTTGGCAATTTGGAGTATTTACTTTTCTGTTTTAGGCCAACGGGCAGCACACGGATAATTAAACCATCAGGTAGTGTCCCATTGAAAAAAAGGTGACTTAGGTATGTGTTCTAAAACAACAACATCAATAAGGCCTGGTTGGACTGCCTGGGTTGTGCCAGGTCATACTGCAGTGTTATAAGCTACCTTAGAGAACCCCCACTACAAAGGTGGAGCCCTCTGATGCGCACCAAATACACAAACAACAAAAGGGTCTGCCCCTCCTCTCCCCTCCCCTCCCCTTGTGCCTCTTGGGGGCTGGTGCAGGCACCAACAGGGCCACTCTGGGCAGCTGGGTGAAGGCCCATCTGGGCAGGCCTCCCCCGGTGGGCGGTGGCTTTCCCCTAGGACCCCACAGCAGGCCTACACGCTTCACTTTCAGGTTTCTCAAAGTGCTTTCCTTCTCTTGTCTGCTTACCCATCCTGCCAGGTTTCCGTCTTCCTGTTTCCCTTCCTGGGCTGCTGGCAGTGAGGTGCTGTGTCTGGTGGGCCCCGTGGAGATGCTCAGTGCTCTGGATCGCCGGGACCGCCCCCCTGAAGAGGGGGCAGCTGCAGGGCTCCAGGGCTTCGCTGTGGACAAGACCTTCCTCTCCTCCCTCAAAGGCATCCTGCTGGAAACTGAGCTGGTAACAGCAGCCACCCCAACCTGGCACCTCCATGTCTCCTAGCCCTGGCCCCCTGCCCTGCCACCACCTCTCTTCCCAGGCTTTCTGGGCACCCCTCCTACCCCCAGCTGCCCCTCTTTCATCTCCTTCCTGCTTGCCAGCTGCGTCTGCATCTGGAGGCAGTTACAGCAGGTTTCAGTCGCAGCAGGAAGGATTGAAGCTAGCCGGGTCAGCTTTCTGGGACATCAAGGGAGTGCAAGACACAGGGACGGGATGGGGGTAACACCAGCCTATCTTTCCCGGGTCCTAAGATGGCCCCTTCTTGACATGTCCAAGAAGTCCAACTATCAAAAAGGGCAGACTTCCTAGAGCCCCATTGTATCTTTTGTCTGTTCCCATGAACATCTGTTCCCAGGAAAAGATCTCCCCGTAGTAACTTAGCAAGGCCTTCGTATAGAGGTGAGTCTTCTGCACAGGTGCCATCCTACAGTGCCAGGGCCAAAGGGGCCCTGGAACCCACTGTGGGGCGTTTTGTCTTCTAAACCTTGTCTCTTGCCACAGAGCCACAGGCTCTGGGCCTTGTTAGAGGAGTTTGAGGCATCCGGGAGTGGGAAAAGGATTATGGGGCACAGGCTGCCTCTTGGGGCGCAGGGCTCCTGCAGGACTCCAGGGACTGAGTTCACACTGTGCTCTGTGTCCCAGCAGGACACCAAAGTGCCAGGGCTGCTGGGATGGGCAGGGGCAGGGGGTGGCTGGTCATCCCCAAATTAGAAGATTCAAATCCTCCTGGGCTGGCAGAGATGGGAGGCTGGAGACTTCCCTTGGGCAAAAGCCCTGGAATGTGGTTCCTACCACCAGGGATGGGGAGATCTTCAAGGACAGGTGGTGGGGGCCAGTCTGGGGGAGCTCCTGAGGAGGAGAAAGTCAAGGCCAGGCTGTGCCTGCGTCTCCTTACTGGCAAGTTCACACACTCGGTCCTGCAGGCCCTGACCTTCATCATCTTCATCTGCTTCACGGCCTCCATCTCCGCCTACATGGCTGCGGCCCTGCTCGAGTTCTTCATCACCCTCGCCTTCCTGTTCCTCTATGCCACCCAGTACTACCAGCGTCTCGATCGGCTGAACTGGCCCTGTCTGGTGAGGGACCCTGCCCCCTGCCCCCCCATTCTGGCTCCTTTCTTCTCCTCTGAATGTGGAGTTTTCCTTTCCTCTCTAGCCTCTCTCCTTCTCCCTGGGTCCCTTGACCCCAGTCGGGCTTTGTCCCAAGCTGTGCCCTGTGCTCAAAAACTGCTTTGACTCACGCTGATTCACAGCTGCTGGGTCACTGACAATGAGGACGCATATCCTTTAAAAATTTTTTTAATTGATTTTTTTAGAGAGAGAGGAAGGGAGAGGGAGAGACAAACATCAATGTGAGAGAGAAACATCCATCAGTTGCCTGTCCTATGCGCCTGACCAGGAATCGATCTTTCGGTGCATGGGGAGACACTCCAACCAACTGAGCTACACAGGCCAGGGCAAGATGCACATCCTTTAGATCTGCTCTCTCACTCATCAAAGGCCCAATCCAAGCCCCAGACCTGCCTTGGCATCCAAGGCTGGCATCCCCCAGCCTTACTCCTTGGTCTCAGCTGCTGAGCCTGTGTCAGCTGCACCCCAGACCCAGGCTTACTGTCCTGGTCACTCTGCATTCACCTGCATCCCTTCCCTGGATAGCCTGTGAGCTCCCTCTCTCTTTTCTCTTAAGTGCTTTAGGTAGTCCAGGAGCATCTTTATGCAGGGATTGTGGGCTGGAGGGCTAAGTGCTGACTAGCCTGGAAAAGTTCAGGGGGATGCCCCTGCCCTCTGACTTCCCTTTGACCCCCAGGACTTCCTCCGCTGTGTTAGTGCCATCATCATCTTCCTGGTGGTGTCCTTTGCAGCTGTGACCTCCCGGGATGGAGCTGCCATTGCTGCTTTTGTGAGTTCAGGCCCCAGAGCTCTCCAGTTCCCCAAGGACCTTTAGCTGGTGCTACTCACTTTTTGTGCCTCCCCCACAAGCCTAAGCCAGTGCCTGGGGCTCTGACCCACACCTTGCCCCCAACCACCCACCTACCTCTCCCTAATACTGGGTGGCTTTTGTGGTGCCATCCCCACTCCTGCTCCACAGGTTTTTGGCATCATCTTGGTTTCTGTTTTTGCCTACGATGCCTTCAAGATCTACCAGACTGAGATTGTGCCCAGGGCCACTCAGGGTGAGTGTCTGTGTTCTGGAAGAGGAGATGCCCTTCTACCCCCTGCCCCAGCTGCCCCAGCCTGATATGCCTTTCCCTGCTTGGCTCCATTTCACAGGGGACCAACAGTGACCCCAGGGCCACAGCCAGACCAAGGGGACAGTGGAGCCCAGGGACATCTCTTGGATTCACTAGCACCCTGTCCATTGTCCCCCACCCCTGATCTACAGAGATGGAGACTGGCCTGAGAAGTCATGGGGATCTGTTTGTGGGCCTGGTGCTCTAATATCTGGCTCCTGGTAAAGCTGGGCTGAAGAGGGGTGTTATGGAGAGAGGAATGGGCAGGAAGAAGTTGGTCATTTCCAAATTAAAAGACTCAAATCCTACTGTTCAGTCTTTTTCTTCCTCAGAAATTAGGCCTATCAGAAATCCAAGGAGTGTTCATAGAAAGGTTGCCTGGAGCAGGTCATGGCCCCTTCCCTGGTATCAGGTCTCAGCAATGAAGTGGGGCGCAAGACTGAAGATGCTGAAGACATCTTTCAGCACAAAACTTCCATGCCACAGATCTCTGTA